GGCATCACAGCTCACAGCAACCTCCAGCTCTTGGGCTTAGGTGATTCTCTTGCCTCAGCCTCCCAAGTAGCTGGGACTACAGGTGCCCACCACAACACTCAGCAATTTTTTTGTTACAGTTTGGCTGGGGCTGGGTTTGAACCTGCCACCTTCAGTATATGGGGCCAGTGCTCTGCTCACTGAACCACAGCCACTGCCTAAGAACTATATTATTAATAATTTTCTCTGCTGTGTAACAAATTTAGAAGCTTAAAATAGCACACATGTATTATTTCACAGTTTATGTGTGTTGGGACTATGGGAACAAGTTATCTGGGTCTTCTTCTTCAGGGTCCAGTTAGATTACAATGTGGGTGTCAACTGGGGCTGCAATCTTATCAGAAGCTTGACTAGGGAAATTAGACTAGACTCCCAACCTACCTCTGGTTGTTTAAATAATTAATCTTGCAGCTGTAGGACTGAGATCCTCATTTTCTCACTAGCTTATAGCCAGAGATGGCCCTCAACAGCTAAGAGTGAGTTCTTTGCCATGTGGTCTTCTCACAACATGGCAGGTTACTTCTTTAAAACTGATAAAAGAGAGTCTCTCTAACTCCAGTATACAAGATGGGGTCTTAGGAAAGTGATATCCCATCACTTTTGCCATATTCTATTAGCTAGAACCACGACACAGGTTCTGCTCATACTCAAGGAGAAGGGATTACATAGAAGATGAACACCAGGTGGTGGGGATTAGTGATGGTCATTTTAGCATCTGTTGGCCACAAGGGCCAGAATAGTAAAGTTGTGTGCAAGGGAGTCATTATAATTATAGATAATGAAATCTAAACTGGATATATTGGTTTTTTTTTTTTATTGGCCCATAACAAATTACCACAAATTTAGAAGCTTAAAAAATAAATAAATGTATTATCTCATAGTTTTTGTGGGTTAGAAGTCCAGGAACAGCTTAACTAGATTCTCTGTTCATGGACTTACAGACTACAATCAAGATGTTGGCCAGGGCTGCCAACATCTCATATGAGGTTTGGGGCCTCCTTCAAGCCCACATAGTCATTGGCAGAATTTAGTTCTTTGTGGTTATAGAACTAATGTCCTCAGATTATTGAAGTTGCCTGCCACATAGCCCTCCTCATAGGTAGTACACAACAGCATAGTAGCTTCCTGCTTCTTCAAGGCCAGCAGTTGAATTCCTTGCATGCTGAGAAGATAAAGTCGTATCTGTATCTATATCCATATCTATATCTGTAGCATCTTATCTATAGCATTTATATCTATCTACCTATCTATCTGTGAGGTGGGATGAGAAACAATCAGGGGAGTGAAGTCTCATCACCTAGGCCATTTTCTATTTATTAGGAACAAGTCACAAGTCCCACCTCATTCAAGGGAAAGGGATTATAGAAGGCATCATACTAGGGGGCAGACATAT